AAGGGTTGTATATTCTCTTAATTACATGTTTGGTCAGAAGATCCCAAACCACATCCTCGAGATGTTGAAGATAAGGGACAGAAGGAGAAGAAAAGGAAACAGTAAGGGAGAGAGGGTAAGAAAAATGGAGAGTGAGACCATGGATGATGACCTGAAGAGCCCATATGAAACAGCAAACTGAAATAAAAGGTTAGTGAAGTGAGACAGATGGGCAATCTCTGGGCTCAACCCAATAGGATTGTCATTGAAGTACAAACAGCGAACCTGACATCAGAAAGAAAGAAAATGAGAAGAGGAGGAAGGCCTAGAATCTGGATTGGTAATGGTGTGGGTAGACTGATCTAGCTAAGGAAAAGAAGTGAAAAGGTGAAGTTGACAAAGACAGGAAACCAGAGAAGATAACAAGTACTGATACTGGGCCGTTTCAGCCTGGGTCTCCAGTGAATCAGAAATAATATCAACGACTTCTGTGTGAAGAAAGGGAACCCATCAAAGATAAAATAAGTAAAAAGGAGGGAGGTGAACATAAGTGATGAGTGTATCCTGACCCAAAAAGTTTCAAGCAGAGGAACCAAGTAAGGATGGAGTGAGTAAGAAAAGTGGTCAAGATAGTAAAAAAAGTGAATGGAACTCTCCAGAAAACCTCTCTGAGGCATGATGAAGTACCTCAGAAATAATATGGAGGGAGGAGAGGTAATGCAGGGGTGTCATAAGAAAAAGTTGAAGATGAAAAACTGGGCATTAGAGAGAAAACCAAAAGACAAGGGGTTTGCTCTACAGCAGGTAAAAAGAGAGTACATAATTTGGAAATTTAGAAATGTAGAGGAAGAATGGCTGTAAGCCAGGACAAAAGTCAACATGGATAAGAGAATGAGGCATGTGGTTACGGGTGCAGAGTTGGTCAAGGAATCAGCATGAACTCTAATATCAGGTGAAGGAGGAAGGACAAATTAATCGCAAGAAATAGTTACATTAAGTAACAAATGGGAAGAATTAAAGGACACTGGCAAAAGAGAAAGGAAGGAATATACTTGAGAATCATATCCTAAAAAAAGAGATTGGAAGGGTGAGGATCTTCCTCAACCTGTAAGGTGGTACTCAAAGCAAACCGAGGTGGGGAGAATGGGAGGAGGCCCAGTGTACATGAGGAAACCCATAACATGTTGCACAATAGCTGTAACATCTTCAACAGCTTCCAAAAGTCATAGTAGAAACAGAGTCTGTGTTTTTAACTTCATCACCCTCACAGGACAAAGTCAAAGTCATCATCACTTGAGAATTCATAATAATCTTCAATGCTTTGGAAACAAAAAACAAGTTATAACTAAACCTAAGTTCCTTTTAAAAATGCAAATCTCAGGTAACTGAACTCAGACTGAAACATCTGTACAAGACCATGCCAAGGAAAAGAATTAAGTTATTTTGAGTGCAAGTGCTTAAGGGGTGTTACCATGCATGAAGGTAGTGTCACCCTCCTATTGGTGGTGGACTTTTTTGTATGAGTAAAGTTCATGTTAAACACATGAATTTTAGGTATGAGTTAGCTCAAGGCTAGTGGTATGCAAATCTCACAGGCAGACATGCAAGGGATATAGGTATTTTGTGTATAGAGGTGAGGTATTATTTCAGAATTAGTGTTTCGGACTATTACTGTTTTCCATTATTCCAACAATCAATTAAATGAAATTATATAATTGAATTGATTAATCTAAATTAGTGCTTTCTGATCATTATTGTTTTTTACTATTCCAACAATCGACTAGCTGAAATTATGATTAAAGTAACTCAGAAAAATAAGCAACTAACCAGAATCAGGGTTTATAATTATTACTATTTTCAATTATTCCAATGATTTTAGTAATCAAAATGCTGCTATTATATTTGTTTGTTGTTAGGCACAAAATTACATAATGGGCTACCTGTGCTCTGTTCAATTTTAGACATATAAATTATTATTTTTTATTTAAAATTTGTTCAGCCTTGGTGATATCATGATTTGAAAGTCTCAGGTTTGACTTCCATTGCCACCAAACGTACTCACCCTGTCTTTGTTATGGCAAAACCACTAAGGCTGTCTATCACTGTTGTTACTTTTGAGCTGCTGACTAGAGGGAAGGCAACCATGTGGCAGCACCAGCCATCAACATTTGTTTTCTTTTCTTTTCAAACTGCTGACTAGAGGGAAGGTAACTGGCTAGCAGCACCTTCTGCCAACATGTTTTTTTTTACTGCTGACTACAGCAAAGGTAACTGTTTAGTAGCTCCTGCCCCTAACTTCTTTTTCTGTTGTTGCTTCTTCTACATACCATGGTTTGAGAGATAATCTCTTAATTGATGAAAGAAATGTAATCCATTAACCCTATCGGCATGGGTACCTTTTACTGTGCATGACACAAGGTTTTAGTGTCTTACACTGAAAATTTTATCAAACTACTTTTTGTTTATGTTATACCAATTAGAATAGCATAAAATCTTAGCTAAGAATCCATATTTTAATAGTATACAAGTTTTAAGCTTTTAATTCTAAAAGGAAATATATAGAAAAATCCTGAATTTCCACTAGTGTAACACACATGAAAATTTTGTCTCAGCATGTCATCATCCCTATTTTATCCATCACCCCTCGAAAATGTACGAAATTAAATGTAAAATGCTCTCTATAAAATCGTTAGTGCTTAAACAGACCATAATTTTTATGGCCTTCAATTTTTTGTTACAGAGCTATCAAAGAGAAAATCAGACCCCACCTGTCACACCCACCCTTTCACAATTGGTTGATAGTTCTCTCTTACATTTCATTATATATCACTTATAACCAATAGAAAGTCAAGGTTTTTTTATCTATCAAATGGCGTCTTGCATAACATTGTGTTTTGAACAGATGACCGTCAATGTCACTCAGAGTAGCAATTTTGTTACCATGGGAAAGTTAAAGACTAGCTTGGATGAATTTGTAATGGCTTTTGTAGCATAGTTAAAAAGCCAGGAAAATTTTTAGAAGTCTACTTTTTGCATGTTATTAGTCTATATTCTTTGATGTATTATTTAAGTAAATAAAAATTGTTAAGTGCTTTACCATAATCGCTAAAAAATTAGGGTTTACTCTACTTGATAATCTAGGGCAAGAAAAAAGTAGATTTGTTTTTCATATTTATTCTTTATTTATTATTATAAAAGTAACTAAAATTAAAAGTATGGATCTTTTTAAGTTATTTAAGACTAGAATAGGTAATATAAGAAATAATAATAATATAATTAAAATTGTTCATGAAGCACGCACATGAGCAGCTCATTGGTAATGTAATTCGATAGCATAACGTGAGCTGTACATTCCCCGAGTGATTTACAACTTATAATGGCATGGATGACAGTTAAACACGGTTCAATTGGCAATATAAATGGTAATAAAACAATAAAATTTAATTATTAATAGATGTATAATGTTACGAACTTAGAGCTACTTAAGATAAACAAATGTAGTTTCAGGTTACAATCTGAAGTCATACTAGAAAGAAAAGAAGATTAATTTAGGTTTATTTTGATTTTTTTGGGGTGCTTACGAGGTCAGTCGAATTGACCAATCCAGTTTTGAGATAGGGTAGAGAAAATAATAGATAAATTATAAGGATTTAGTGAAAAAAAACCGTCTGAAATGCATTTAGAAGGTTTTAGGGATTACACAAAGGAAATTTGAGATTTTTGAGATGACGAAAAGTATTTTTAATTTAACATGAAAATTACTTTGCACATGGACTATTCAAAACAAATACTCAATATATTCATGGACAAAACTTTATTTTATTTTAGTAAAAGTACTTCACTAAGAAATATGACTTTTTTCTATGTGAAAGACTTGTAATATTAACTGAAAGACTGCCAAATTTCGTGAAGATATACCCAATATATAGAGAGTTATATGTATTAAACTTATGTCAACTTGAAACGAATACAGAAAGTCACGTGACTCGGTCAAATCGACCAACCCCGTGTTGGAAGAGTTAATGGGTTTAGATAAAGTGATTAGCAAATACCACTAATCACGCAACTCTAGATAGCATGTTTTGAGGTCATATAAGGGTAGGAACACAAACAGTCCTTGTGTAATGGCAGAAAGAGAAGGAAAATTATGTAAGAAACAAAACTTTGAAAATTATATTATAAATGGATCATATAAGTATATTAGCTATAAACTTATGCTTTGAAATTGTCATTACAAGAGGACAAATTACCACTTTTAGAATGTTTCTGAGAAAGAAACATTGTTTAAAGAGCATTATAAAAATTATTTTTACTTAAACTTTGAAATTTGATATTTGGGTTTGTATGAGACACCTAAAAAGTGCTCAGTGGTTTAGAAAGGGTTTGCAGAGGCACTGAACTCTATCAGGGCAGGATGAACAATTCTGGAGGCATTCCAAAGTATTTCTTGTGTATAATCCTTTATAGTAGATAACTACATGGTAAAGAATCCTACATGTTTCTTTTCTAACAATAACACATAAACTTGTTAAAAAAAAGTATTTTATTCTTGAAACAAAATGTTTTAGAAAATAATTCATAAACAGAAAAACAACTCTCATTCTCTAAACTACTTTAAATACCCATGAAATCAGAATTTATGGATAAACTGTAACTAGAAGAGAAACTACCTTCTTAACATATTGTGATGGACATACTTTGACTGTATTCTGGTGGGTTTCTTAGGAGCATCCAAATGTAAAATTTTTTATGGGTGGTTACTTTTCTGAGAATCTTAAAGATGTTATTTTCAATGAAACTTATAGTTCATTTACTGATTTTTTTTTAAAGTTAAGCACAAAGCTACACAAAGGGCTATCTGTGCTCTGCCCACCACAGGTATCGAAACCCAGTTTCTAGCGGTGCAAGTCCACAGACATATCGTTGTACCACTGGGGAGCTATTGATTTTCATGAATTTATTAATTTAATAAAAACTAGATCTTTGTAATGTCTTAGTAACTAAAACTAAACAAAGGATACTTGACTGTCCAATAAAGCCATGAGTGATATATAATTTCCAGTCTGAATGTATGTCAACAGGCTCTAATAGTTCTGTGTTCCATACAAATTTCCAATGAGGTTTACATCGGACTCCATAGTGATGCCCTGGATGAAGCAAAAGGAAAATATATAATAGTGTTAAAACAGATCATACAGAAAGTTTAATGCTTAATGTTTCCCAGTGTTAATAAAAGTCATAACTATAAACTGGGGTTTCACAAAAATAGACAAAAATCTTAAGAATTTTGATAACCATACCTGAATTAGAATGTCATAAATACTGCAAAAGAAAAGGGCAAGAAATACTGTGAAGAAGATCCTATCAATATAAAACTTCCTTTTATCCAAGGTAAAAGTAAGTTATTATACTTAAAACATTTAGTGTCAAGTTTTTACAATATTATCAAAAATTGTTAATTTATAAAGAGGAACAGTTATTGTAAAAAAAAAAAAAACTACATAAACAAGCTAAATCAAAATGCAAAGATTATATTTTCAAACCCACAACTAGAGACTCTAAAAAAAGTAAACACAGCTCTTCAATGTATTGAGACCCCAACTGTGAGAATGTCATAGCTTCCCTGTGTT